AAATTTTTCAATAACAATCAAATGTACAAACACAATTCACGTAATTATCTAAACTCTATAAATTAAGCCTTTCTCAAGGTAGTTTAAGAATTTTCGATTATTCACGTATTTTTATACCTATCACAGGCTAATGTACGAGGGGGTGGAGGAGGAGGAGGAGGAGGAGGACCACATTTCCTCAGTGGGGCGGTGGCGGCGGTGCAGGGCTCCGACAGGTCGTGTGAGCGGGACCGCCGAGACTGGATGGCCGTGCTGAGGAAGTAAGGTGAGAGGGGAGTAGTGAGCATACCAGCTGACGGCGGGGTTTGTTTACGCCGTTACCATGGTGACTGTGCCAACACCTGCACCAACTCTCGTATCCTGTTGTTCCAACGTGCACACAGCAAGAGACAATAAAAGCAGCTTGAAATTATTGTGGTGACAGTGGCGAGTATAATAGCGAAGGTTATGGAGGATGAACGTGAATGAGGAGGCCAGGGGTGACATGAGCGACTTGACTGTGGTATGCCAGGCCGGGTCGTGGAGGGGTTGGGGAGGGGGTGGGGGATCGATCATCAGGTGGCATTCTCACACCTGCTATTAGGCCTTACTCGAACTCGTGTTCCCATGTGAATGCATCGACACACACACACACACACACACACACACACACACCATTTAAGACGAGCGGAGCCTTGGTATAAAATCATTAATCTTGAGAACCTTCTGAGGGTTGGGGAGTTTTTTGTGAGGGAGTAATGAGAACGTCACTCACGGTATTGACACTGGTGGTACCTAGGTAACACAGTAAGTGTTTACCTCTTAACTTTTTACGTGTCCGTTTGTGATTAACATTCTTATCAATCCAGGGGTGAAAGAAAGCTATCTCTCTCTCTCTCTCTCTCTCTCTCTCTCTCTCTCTCTCGAAACGTTTCTTTGTTTCTTATTTCTCTTGTAAGGTAAATATGAGCCCATAAAGCTTTAGGATATAATTTTTGAATGTGTGTAGACCAACATCCATGTGTTTACTCTGGAACGGGCGGCATTATGTACAATATTTTGTACTGTGTGGTTCACTCTCGGCACAGTTGTCGGACATGTGGTTGGACATATGATTGACAGGACATGTGGTTGTGTGGACACGTGATTATCAGGACATGGAATTTAAAGAATTGGATCATTTGGTCATACCAGTACAGATAACAACAGTCCTTGCCTCACTCACGTTACCTAGAGTGAGTCACGTTAACATGAACTCAGCAAATTCACGACCCGGAAATAAAAAAACAATGACGAGGACGGAAAGTTTCAGGTGTGACTGATATTTTGTGACTTTTCAAATTGATGTAGTTGATTGAGATTATTGTTATCATTAATTACATACTATTAATTTATACATTGATGTAAGAACAAGAACAATTATACACGCTGACTTATAACCCTTAATGTACAGTGAACAAATTCAGTCGTCAGCTGCAATGAACAAAAAAATTAAATGATGAACTAAGGATAAAACAGACCTAAGCCGAAACTACCTATACTTTTCCGCTATGACAAAGATCACAATCTGATATCGTATAAAAGATGTAATACCATATGAGTGTCTTCAGTATATAAACAACTCTACAAAATTCCATATATTGTTTTCTTCTTAAACTATGAAAGTAATTACAACTCTCGACCCTAAAGAACAACAGATCGACTAACAGAACGATAAAAGTGTAATCCAAAATTCATTATCAGAACAGTCATTTTAAAAACAAAATCCAGTCAAGGAACATCTTTGGATAAACAATCTCCTGACGCTTATAGATAACTGGTGGAAACATCATTATTCCTTGGAACATTTGCATAAAGAATTGGAACCAGCATAAGAAAAAAAACACGAAAAAAATATCACTCTAGGAAAATAACCTTTACGCCATTCACTGTCAGAACCAAAACAATCTTGAGCGACTCCTGAACTAAAGTACAGTGAGTGGTGGTTATGGCGTCATGTGGTTCCCTCCCCCTTCACGTGGTCCCCTCCCCCTTCACGTGGTCCCCTCCCCCATTATAATAACCCAGGGTCAACTTTACCTTCCCCCTCCAGAGACCCACACGTAATAATGTCCAACCTCCTCCTGTGACCATTAAGAGCGACATCCACTCCTCTTTCAGATCCTTCCTCTTCCCCCCTTCACATGACACAAACACATATATACAACAGACAAGACACGTGGCCACCCCAATAGACAGAATACACTAAACCTGGTAGAAATAGACAGATGGCTTACAGACACAGACAGTCCAGATTTAGTAGAAAAAGACAGGCAAAACAGAACAAACAGACAAACCACATAGGAAGACCAAACCACACCAGATAGAGACAGACAAACGAGACTAAACAAGACACAGGCACCCCCGCCACTTGACACAAACACAAAACATGGATAAAAACACAAAACATTCCAGACAAAAAGGGAACCAGCCAGACAGATAGACACACTCCTGCAAATCTATCTTACGACGTCACATTTCAGCAGCAACGATCAACAGTAGCCAGTGAGAGCGAGTGAGCGTGCTAGAGAGAGACTGTGGTGAGGATTAAGTTGTCCGCGCCCGTCAACAAATCGGATGGAGACGATGAGGAAGGAGTAGCTCGTGACCAACACCCTCAAGCTTGGGCTCGAGCGGCCACACGCGACCATCCTCTCCGATACCCCACCCCTGATAAGGACCCCACATCTATACGGCGATGAAGTGAGCTGCAGGGTCACTTCAGGTGTTTAAAGTAAGCACGATAGTGTTTTCGGTACCTGTCTGTGTGTGTGTGTGTGTGTGTGTGCGTGTGTGTGTGTGTGTGTGTATCTATTAATTCTAAAACATCAGGACAGGTAGAGGTAAAAACATTTCAAAATCACAGCAGCACACAGTCACGAATACTTTTCACCATTAATAGGTATACAGTAAGTATTGATTTCACTTACATCAATATTGTACTGTAAGTTACATTAGTGTTAGGCTGGGGAGGTCCAACGAAGGGGTCTGTTGCTCACTACACTGTAAACAATGAAGGGTTTGGTCAATCAAGTCCCTTCATTATGACTACCAACAGCTCAGCCATTCATGCGAGGACCATACCTGACCCAGCCTGTCTAGGGGTGATGGATGAAGCTCTGGCCCTCATTGATTCACGCTGGGACTGACACTTTACCTCTCGACCAACGCGAAATTTGTTTACCGACCAGAAGTTAGACATGTCTAATGTTCTGTAGCTACGTAGTCAGGGACTTTTGTTCAACAATATTTGGCCAATAAAACTATGCAAGTCATCCACGTTCAGGTAGAGCGTCTCAAGAATGACCACGACTGACTTTGATATTCATCAGATATAAATTCCGTTATATAAAGCAACGGTGCCACCGACTATATGATAAGAAATCATATTTTACAGATGAATGTTAGGGAAAGTGTAGATACAACACACTGTAAACTAAACCTTCGGTACACAAGGAGGCAGCGACCAATGGTCAAAATCACATTTTGCATTTAGTTAAAAAAAAAAACCTTGAGATATCGTTTTCTATGATGTCACTGTTTGTCATAGAAAACTTCTTTTAACACTTCAATGGATAACTCCTGTCAAAGACCGTGAGTTCATATACGTAGGTCACTTGAGGTTTTAAATTAATGTAAATAATAATGACCATCTTGAATTATATCCAATATAACAAGTCTGTATGTATCCGGTGGCGAATGTAGTCTAATTTTAAGTGGATGAAGGAGACCAGACCAGAGAAAGGAGGAACTAACGCCAATGGTTTTCAAGAAGCAGGAAAGTCAACACCTCTAAACCACATGCTATGTATACCTATAGACTGCATTGTTTCCAAACAGAAAAACAGTAAGTTAACCCTTCCAGTAATACTTGAACAAAATCTACTCGTGAACAATAACAAAAACACAAGACGGGAATGACCTCACCAGACACATAAGGACTGACTGAACCTTCACAAAAGTATACAACAATACGACCACCAGTACAAACTATCATATTGGAAAACTAGAATCAAAGTACTGTAAGCTGAAAAATATAGACGACTTTAAGCCTTCCTAAATCCACAAGCACTAAGACTTATGGTCTACTATACACCTAATTCACAACATTGATTAATTAATGAGGTAAATCGTTATACTGTACTAAGATTTTCCATTATCCATACCTTGAGGAAAGACGATCATCTCCTTTGCATCCCTCTGTCTCCAACTCAGTGTTCCTCAAGCCTGGAAACATCCGTGACTTCTGAAATAAAAAAAATAATGTAGTTAATCCTTCGTGGTCGTAATTTCTCGGCTATACCATTTGGGTAGTTTAGCCATGTGTAATTTGTAGAATATTATATCACGTTAAATCTAGTCTTTATCCCATCTATCATGAATTATCAATCTCCGTCCTTGTTATTAAAGAAAGAATACAGTTTGATACGGTGATGAGTTGTTGATCTATGCTTTAAGATTTTTCCATTATTAAAGGTGTATCGTAAATTTTGCTTTTTGGTAATTAAATGTATGTGAAATATAAAATACTGCACAGGTGTTTACAATGTCTCTTATATTTTATTAGTTAACAACGATAAGATATCTTAAAGCATAGTGTTCACCTTATCTGGCTACCGCGTGTTGTTTATATGCTCAATGACTTGTTATAGTTCATCCGGTACCGTTAAATAGAACACAATTATCTTTCTTCTTGTTGACGGGGAGTGTTAAGGAAGTTAAACATATAAAAAACATCATCTACTACATAATACTCAGCTGTACTCCTCACCGTGTTCTCTGAAATTTAGGACTTACAGGAGGAAGTAAGTTTTGAATGTGAACTTCCAACTTGCTCAATGGACTGTAAACGCCCAATACATTATCAAACTTAACATGTATTAAAAGCGTTTAAGGAGATTCAATGAAATTTTGCCATTCAATTTGGCCTATATAATGACTCAGGTATTTGTATAAACTTGTCGAGGAAAAGAAAACTCAGATTATAGTACACATTGCTTATTTAATGAGTTTTTGTGCAGATTCAAGAATGATGTGTGCATGGTTAAAAAAAAAATAGTTTTCACACTACCGTTTCGGCAAGAGGAAGAGCCGCTCTATCTTACACACCAGACAGATTCCAAAATAGAGTCGAGGGATGAGGTGTTACGGGAAGAAGGTGTCTGTCTTATTATTGTAGGATGAAGATAAACAAGGAAATGCTTCTCGTGCTAAGAGTATATCCCGCACCATAAACACAGCGCCAGCACGAGCAATCAGTAAAGCTTCTGTATATTATTCCAGATTTTAGTTTCCCCCCATTTTCTCTGATCACATTAGTGCAAGTGTTCTACGGCACGATCATAAGCCTAGGCGTATCTAGTGAGTGAACCACCAGGATGTAACTTAAGTACGGCTATAGGTTGATTGCAGTAAGAAGCACTACTTACATCGAGGGAAAACCAGGAGAGACGGCACATTTTACAGAATATTCAAGTACATAGAGAATAAGAAGCAACCTCAGGGTAACTAGTAAGAGACAATCTTTACTCCTGGGGTAATTAGCCTCGTCCAAGATAAAGGTTTCATAGTTGTAGGATTGCTAAAGGTAAGAGTATGTCAAAGTTTGCAAAATGATCAGGTTTAATTTGTCAGAACCTGGAGAATCATCCAGGGAGGTGTATCACAGCTTGTAGAATCATCCAGGAAAGTGTATCAAAATTTGGAGGTGTCAGAACGCGTAGAATCATCCAGGGAGGTGTATCACAGCTTGTAGAATCATCCAGGGAAGTGAATCAGAATTTGGAGGTGTCAGAACGCGTAGAATCATCCAGGGAGGTGTATCACAGCTTGTAGAATCATCCAGGAAAGTGTATCAGAATTTGGAGGTATCAGAACGCGTAGAATCATCCAGGAAAAAGGCGTCAGAATTGTGTAGGTTCATGAAAGCAGAAGCGACTCAAAACATGAAGAAACGTCGAACTATGGGATGTCCTCTAGAGTTTAATGATCCCCCACGCACCATTATGAGAACTCTCCACAGTATGAGCGGCTGTATTGGCCCTCACCACCACATTAGAGAAACACCCCTTCTTCACCGACCTGATACTGTTGTCTTGCATCTGGAAATCGGAGCTCTGTGGGCGTGAGAAGTGACAGATTAGGAGATTTATTTTATTTCACCTTCGTAAATCACTCATCAACACACTCAGTACAGTAACAGCCTCAACAAACTCTATACATATGTTTAGAAATACGAGCCGATTCATTCATATATAAAGGTCTTTGTTTGTGATGGAGAAAAATAAAGAAAATGTTTATAACAAGTAAACATTGTGTCCAAATTCTTATCCCTGTAAGTACTGTTTCATAAAATGTGATAACTTTATTTAAATTGAGATATATTTATGAGTAAGATCGATTATTATCCAAGTACAGGGGATAAAAAAAGTGCACATTACCGTAGCGAAGATGCCGATGTCTAGGGACTTAAGGAGGTCGTGATGGTGGTGAGTATCGGGCTTCAGGCACACGTGTCTCCCAGTGAAGTTGTCGCCGCTGCCGCCAAACACAACACACATTACACATAGTTCAGGTTGGTATAGACAGGATCTATTCTGCGCCACCCTCTCCTTCTCGACACCCGCCCAACCACCCACCCAACCATAGTACACTAGTATAAATAAACCAAAACTCATTATCTTTCTTTGTGTTCCAACTCTAAATTTACGAGACTAAAATTTGTAGGTTAATCGTCATAGAAAAGAAAAGCGTATAAATGGGTTTCATGATAGACCGTTGCTTCCATGGACCAAATCCTCTGTTAGACAAGTGTTGCAGCTCTTGCCGCCTTGAGAAAGACATTTGTAAGATATGTGAAAAGCGATGAAAAGTTGTAACAGTGTGTGTGTGTGTGTGTGTGTGTGTGTGTGTGACAAGATATACCAGGTAGGAGTTGAAGAGAGGAGTCTTATGGTATCTACTCATTCCTGTAATTATATAATGTGTCTTGTGGTGAAACAGTGATGGAAGTCAAGATCTGCTATTTACAGGTATATTATTACTTCTCTAATATCTGTCTTCATATCTTACTCTACTGAACATGAGGCGGTTGGATCTGAGCCCGGAAGCAACGAGAACAGTTTCCTAATTTTCTAATGACAAAGTGTCGTAGGCGGAGACTCACTCGTAGAAGGTCCAGCTGCTAGTACCAGTGAGCACGATGGAGGACACTTCCCCTGAGAGTCGGTCGAGGTTGCCAGCATCAGTATTGCCATACAGACCTTCCTCGGTGAAGCCCTCTCCTGCGTATATTGTCCAGCAGTCTTCGTTGAGCTGGAAGGGGCTGCCGGCGTATCTCAGAGACGAAGCCTGAAGAGACCACGGGAGGGATAAGTCACACCGAGTCACGGCAGATAACACTATTATGGCAGTTTCACAAAGAGGAGGAAAATATCAATAATATACAGTGAATTGAATTAATTAATCTTCGGTTGGTGGCTGAGAGCTACAAACAGTAAATAAAACAAGCCGAGAATTTTTTTTTCTAGTATTCAATAAAAAAAACAAGCCTAACCATGTTGGTGTATTCAGAGGGAACGTCACCGGTGTAGTCGATGCCGTCTATCCAGTAAACATAACCGGAGCTGTAGGTGTTGTAGTCTGTTTCCTGGTAGAGCATCCACCTGTCGGAGGATAATAATACTAACTCACTCTAACTAACATGACTATAGTGAGGCTCTGATTACTGATGCCGAGACTCTCTGCAGATATCACGAGAGAGTTTTGACGTGTTACTGTACGGAGTGTACCATCAAGGAAGACGTGGTTAACTCGTTTGGTACCCGAGAAGTGTTCTGGATAACATTAAATCGAAATAAACACTTAAACATTGAGGAAGGAATCTTGGAACACAACAAAGAATGGATGGGAAGACAGAACGAAGAACAATAAAAGAAGCATAAAGAAAGTAATTAAATATATCAGTTTGGGATTATTATAGGATCAAAATCTATGTAATTATTATCAAAATCCATATCGTATGAATGGTTCCATATAATATTGGTGATATTGTATTCATAAGGTTAGACTAATAGGCTAGACTCGATACATACACTTGCATACAATATTCATACACCTTAAGCCACGATCATTATATTGTTCAGTTAGACCTTCCTCCTCCCTGCTCTAAGAAAGACAGTATAAACAAAAACAAAGTGTGATCGATAACATAAGTGACCATGAGAACAACACTACTGCTGACGCTTCGTGTCTACCATCTGCACACCTCAAACTTCCCCAGCTCGTGTACTGACTGACCAGCTCCTTTAACTAAACCATCATTGGTAATTATCGACACATTTAAGGAGGCGTGATGACATATAAAAATAATAATGATTACAAACTACTTATAATTCCAAACATAAGCAGGTAGTGTATTTACCTGAAATGAATTTATCTTTTCTCGTTACTTATAACAGAACGTCGAATAACACGCTACAAAATTATATTGTATTGTCTGCTTATTATTATTACAATCTTAGGTAACACTCGACTCAAGCACTCACATGCCAGTAACTTTGATACTCTCGATGGTGTTGTCGAAGTTGACGGTGGCCAGGTTGGATATGTCCTCATTGAAGTCGTACCACTCGCCTTGTTGGTTGGCGGAGGCGTAGCAGCGGATCTGGGTCTCCCAAGCCCTCGGCGCCCCTGTAACACAACACCGTGTCACCTTTGTGTTCTTTCATACAATATTATGACATTTTATTTTCATTATATAAATTTACTTCATTGATCGGCTGTAGTTCTGTCATGCATGATGCAATAAGTTATTATTTCATTATTGTAGTACATTGTTTTATTGTACCGAGTGTGTGCTGTACTAGAATTTTTTTGTAAGGTAGTTCGGTGGACATTTCCTCCTGTTGGTTCTTTTACGAGAAACACTTACTGAAGCTTAATAAATTATCGTATTATAAGTAACCAATTACAACACAGTGAGTTCAAGGAGTGTATTCCTAGGAAGAAAGGGGGGGGGGGAGGGTTGAGGGTATGGATGATAATAATAGAGAGGTGAGGGGGCGGGAGGCAACGAGTACCCGGAGATAGTCACCTGTCTGGCTCAGTGTCGCCTTCACCGTCACCAATGAAATTTAATTTGACTAGACAATTGTAGAAGAATAGGACACATGCACAGGATTAAGAGACCCACAGGTGATTTAAAAGGATAGGGAGTGAAGGAGTACAGTCCCCTTCACTAGTGCGTTTACAAGGGCTCGTTAGGTTTTGTGCAGTGTGGCACCCTGTGTTTGTTTACATTCGACAGAAGGAAACTTTCAAGAGTAAACATACTATGGAATCAAAGTAAAACAACATTAAAACAAATATCTCACTGTAATGATTTGTGGAATGTTTATCTAACGAGCCCCTGTAAACGCACTAGTGAAGGGGACTGTACATAGGCAACACTGAAGGAGGGAGCGATGGAGAGAGGACTACCAAGAGTGTTATAATAATATGAACATAAAAGAACACGTGATATAAGGAGATCACCTCTGGCGTGGGCGGCGACGGTGGCCACAAGCAGCAGCAGCAAGGTGTGGGTGTTCATCTTGTAGCAGCAGAACAAGACAGTGTCGCTCCCACACCCTCACACACCGCTTTATACTCAAACTGATACACTGTTTTTTTTAATCGGGGTCCAGGGGGGCAGGAGGAAGGGGAGGAGGAGGAGTAGGGGAGGAGGGGGGAGGAGGAGGGGGAGGAAGAGGGGAAGGAGGAGGGGGAGTGGAGGAGGAGGAGTGGATAAGGTATATAGTAGTTTTTGCCCGTTTTATTTAAGTTAGGTTAGGTTATGTATGAAACTATTTAAAGGTATTGTAATTATCTATAGGATTGTCTATGGCCAGTGAGAGGTTTCCCAAAACAAAGAAACATATAGAAGTTGTCGTTAAACGGCAATTAACCCAATTCAGTGTAGCATATATGTATAGTATATGTGTTTTATATGTATCTGCTGTATATGAAGAGTGTGTGTTTTCGTTCACGAGTTACGCTGCCAATATAGATAGTTAACTAGTTCGTTGGATAGTTAGTGTATTAGTTTGGTGATGGGAGACACATTATACTGACCACCTTACTCAATTCAAAGTCACACGTGTTCTGAGGTCTGAGCGTGTGTAAGATATATTTAGAGGTGTTAAATTCCATATAGTGGTTGAGTAGGATGAAACTTCACTTACTGATTGTTATTGTCAGTCCGTTACTATAACATATAATGGGACAACACAACTGATAATAATGTTAAGGAAACAAATATCCAGGGTGGCTTAAGCTGCTAAATTCGACCCGGTCAGGTGAGTCAGTATTTTGTGCTGAGTGGATCTGATGTCCTGGGCACTCCTACGTCCTGTTGGGCTACTGCGTACATGTCCCCACAGCTGTCTTTTGGGGGATATGTTTTGTAAGAAGAGCAGTATTTTTCAGGTTACGTAATTAAGACAGGTTGGTCGTGTTCTCATCCACTTCTGATAGTCTGTCTGGTATCATATTAAGGAAACGACAAGTCTTACGAAAATTCAATATTTCTTAAAAAAACAGAAAGGAGGTATTTCCTGCTCTGAAGTGGTCGAAACAGGTGAGATGGATGTACTGGAGGTGGATTTTGGAGAGGAGTATTAGTGATGGGGAGTAGTGAAGTGAAGATAGGGAGTAATATGAGGCAGGTATTGTGATGAAAAGTAGAAGGGATCTAGTGAGAGAGGAACAGGTGATGATGGATTCTCGGAGTGAGTAGTAGAGCGGAGTAAGGCAAGAGACGGGTGTGTGTCGGTGGGGTTGAGACTGAAGGAGGGAGGGAGGGTCTGGTTGGTAACACGGGTAAACAGGGAGGTTCTTACACACGTTTGTCTGGCGTCATCCTCCAACACGTGTCACGTGGTAACAATAATTATCTTATACCTTGATCGACCGCCACCCTCTGTAGGACTGACCAAATAAATATTTGGGTATATCAAATATGTGCGAAAATATTTACATTTTCTCCACATAGTTATTACTCGCCCTTAGTGAACTATACTGTATTAATGAACAACAAGGTCTGGTGTGAGAGGTTTCTTGAGGGGTAAGGGACGTAGTGGTTCAGGTCATTAAACCCTTACTCCTTTTGATCCCTAACTTAACTATTTAGATATGGATTCATCAAGACAGTGGTTGGGTCTGATAGGATTAGGGCCCAGTAACACTGGGGCCCATGGGTGCAGCGTCCAGCGTGGGATAAAGAGCGCCGCCCCCACCTGTGGTGCAGCTGGCACCACCCTCACTATCAGCCTCGCCTCCCACCACCTATCACTCCTTCCCAGACTCGTATCATCACCAACGAAACACAGAATGGACCTTAAGTCTAGGACAAGGGGGAAATTCATTTATATGAATATTGATTGCTTTTCTCTATTCGGGTTAGATATGGAGAAAAATAAAGAAATAAAGAATGATAAGCAATGAAGTTATTCTATATTCGTATAGGAAAGAGACAGAAGCAAGTACGGAGGTGTCACAAACGAATTCAGTTAGCAAAGCTGTGGGAGAAAAGGCAATGGCTTCTCAAAAAAATTACTGGGCAATTCACAGCCACCGGGAATGGTCCTCTATCCTGGTCAGTCAAGAACCTTCACGAGCGATCGGACTTCGGCGCTGATACTAAATGATGAGTTAAACAGCATAATGAAGTCACACCGCAAGTTATCTATAAAGAAAGTCGTGTCGAGGACAACTTGAACGTCTTAACTGCTTGGAAACTACAAGCTGTCTGCTACAGTTCTGTGAGTGCACGACTAACGTAACATTGTCGGTCGCATAATATTTACTGATGAAGCAATCTTTCATCTTAGTGGACACGTTAACCACCATATAGGTCGGTACTGGGCTGACGAAAGTATTCACTGCAACAAGAGAAGCCCCTTTACAACCGGTCGTCGCTCCATTCCGGAATTATATGGAAAACGCTGAACGAAGAGGTCAAGTTGAATGTCTCCTCGTTCAATAGATCAATAAACGCCCAGGATTTTTGAAAAACGCCACTTACAATAATCATCCACAAACTTTTTAAGACCTCACGACTAACATAACGGCTGAGTGTTCCCAGTTGAGAAGAGCATCGAGGTTAATGGTTCTGGGTCGTAGTTAGAACATTCACTATACAAAGACGAACTTAACGTGGGTGACATATTATTTCCCTAACGTGCCTTGACGAGAAATGGGTTAGACAATATACCCTCATTACTTGATCCTTACCATAAAAGACAATTAATATTATATTAATGTTTACTTGCAATAAATCACATTCAATTCGGGGCTGTATTCTGTTAAGTTCATACGTTAAACTTTTATCGTACTTGGAGGTGTAAGAAGGCATTTAATGTATTAATTTAAACTATACCTAAAACTTGACGTCGAAATTGAAATAATAAAATGATGCTCTACCTTAATTAGATACGTTACCTTAGCTCTAGTTAACGGACAAACTTAAGGTAAAGATTTTTGTGAATCGTGACCGTAGACGCAAACGATGACGTCTGGCAACAGTTGCGGCTGAACTTCACGGTACATGTTCTCTTGCCAAGCTTTAATGCCCAAGTTCTATTATTAAACTAAGTTGTGTGTTTAGGTAGTGAGGATCCTACCTGTATCACACCTGTATATACAAGTCTAACCACAAATCCTTATACACAAGGTGAGACTGGTTCACTGCGCCTCAAGAAAGTAGGCAAGCAAATTAGTAGAAAATACAAAATTAACGCGTTCAAATATCTTCAAATTTATACTGAACTTATGAGGAGTGAGGAAAAAGAGGTTTAAAAACTTTCCACTGCAGTTGAATTTTTCCTTGCAGTTCACTTGATTCACCAAAGTGATTGCTCAAGAAACACGAGCCTACGTTCTATAAAAAATATTATTAGTTACAGTGGGAGTAATGTAAACTGTGCCACTTAATTTCTATAGGCCTATACTGTAGTGAGTTAACATTCCTGGTTTGTGCTGACGTGTGCAACTGGAACATTAAAAGTTTTTCTTAAAAATATCACAGTAAAAATTATTATACAACTCACATCATCTTATAGAAACACGAGAGAATTTCTATAATCAAACTGACGTAATAAGTGAGAATTTATGCAAATTTGTGATATATTTATAAGGACGCAGACTGAAAACACATTTAATTATCTAAAATATATTGTAAAAAGCATTGAGTTATGTAGTCAAGAAAGAAAATACAATACTAAGAGATAAGCTACGAGGCAAAAATTTCTCAAAGATAAAACAATAAGGAATATGTACAGTAGTCTCCATGTGTTGATGCTTCGAGTGTGTGAAATGGTTTGTCAGTCGTAACTCAACTCCACAAACACTTCTCTTCATCTCGTCCTTTTCCTCTTCCTTCACCATGTGTTTACTTGTAATTTGATCGAGTGTTTCTGGGATACAGGTGATGGTGGTTGAAGGTATACTGTAGGTAGTGTGGTATTATAGAACCTGTTGTTCATGGTAACTTTGGGGAGAAGATGTCCTTTGTTGTCATGAGATTTATGTTAATTAATGCACGATTCTTCTTTATAATACGTTAATGATATAAGAAAAAGGGGGATTTTTTTGTGGTAATTCATTCAGAAGTTCGTAAGATATATTAAGGAATAAAAGTAGAAGTACGAGACATTGATTAAGAATGATGAGGTATAATATATTTGATTAGGAAATTTATTCTAAAATTTATGTGTGTCAAATCCCGGTGGTAGGGGTATTCTTCAGTGCTCTACCAAGCTTCCTACTGGTGCTTCTTGGTCTCAGGAGCCTTGGCGGTGAACGTCGAGACAGAATCACCCCATTTGACCAGCAGCTCTGACCAACACTTTCCCTTCCTACACACGCCTCTCGCAACACTCCCCATCTACCACAGCCAACGCTACTGTGGTCGTTCCGTTCATCTGTCTCATTCTACACTAATAAAACTAAACAACTTTTAAACAGGATTGAGTTAAAAAAAACTGTTATTGTACCAGGATCAAGAATATTCCAAACGCCTTTTTTTCAGCAGGATTCAAAATTTTCAATAAAATTCCTCAAGTTATACCGGAGAAAATGTGAGTAAAGAAGTCTAGTGACAGTCTACCAATAACCAACTATGTCCAAGTATCAATCACGACCAGAACGTCTTCACGGCGCCAGTATCATAAACACGTTCTTCACGCTAAGATACGACTGGGAGTTCTATTCCGGTTGGCTGAGTTCGTTTCACCGTGATCCACACCAAGGGGTAAATGACCTCCTTATCATTCTCATCCCTCCTGGGAATCATCCGAGTGAGATGTGTCAAGCTACCCAAGGTCATGGTTGGCGAGCTGTTTTATCACTGAAAGAATGTACAGTTCCGTTCAGGTGCAAAGGCTGTTGTACTCTTCCTGGACGACAGGTCACTACGCCGACCCTCCCAACAACACACACAGTGGAACTGGCAACGGAGCAGTGTGAGTCGAACGATCATCAAAAAAGAGATTGGAAGGATATTGATATGAATATCGGCCGACGTTACTGCTGGTGGATGATGAAGATGTGTTAATATCTTGTTTACGAGAGCAGACATCTATAGTGATGGGAGTATCCTTTCGAATATCAGAATACAATAGGGAAACTAGTTTCGAATGAACACTATAAGAAAGAACAGAGTTTATATATAAATGTCTCTCCGATTGATGTTGGCTTGGTGGAGCTTCTGATCACTCTCATCAGCGGCAAATAACAACACCACCTCAGTGACACACAGCCCACTTGTGTCGGTGTGTTTCAGCGTGTGTCGAAGATGTGATACATATGAAGTAGAGTTATTTAACACTTAATCGGCAATTATCACTATTTAGCGTAACACACACACACAGCCCTGTAAATGTATTGAACGCATATCATTATGTCTAAATCACATGCAAGTTTGTATATTTTCAGCCACCGGCTGCAACTCTATTAATAAACCGTTTATTATTATTACTATTATATATATAGCTTGAATATTATACGAAAAACTTCAAGTAATGAATACATTGAAGACTCTTGATATATGAGCTCTGTTCACCTACTTCTTATGGTGTCCATTCGAAACCAATTTCCCTATTGTATTCTGATATTCAAATGGATACTCCTATCACTACAGTTTTCTTCTCTCTTCAGCAGGATATTCATATCAATATCGTTCCCATCTCCGTTCGACTCACACTGCTCCGTTGCCAGTTCCACTGTGTGTGTTGGTGGGAGGGTCGGCGTAGTGACCTGTCGTCCAGGAAGGGTACAACAGGCTAGGCACCCTTCACCGCCAGTATACCACGAACTTCTGAACGGAACTGTGCGTCCACAAAAAGATGTGGAAAGTAAAAATGCATTAAGGGCGGACGATGTATAATATTTGTATTAATTTTTGTATTATATTACCTATATTTGAAACATTACCACACGATAGAAAACTGTAAATATAACACGCACCTGTTTCGAGGTAAAGATATTTTTCAAGTTACCCTTATGAAAAGTTTACCTGGGTTAAGTAACCAATTTCATGTAGATGTCTCAAAGCTTTCAAAATGCATATTTATTTCGCAATTAAACTTTTTTTAAGAGAGAATTTCTATTGTTTTATCATTAGAATAAATGTTTTCTCTCTCAGTGTACTTACATCAATAACTAATGTAACTATCCCTGGGGCAAGCAGAGAAAAATGTGTAAGACATGAAAAAGCAATCTTCAGTCAGTCACTCTGTACACAGTATAAAGAACAAATACCATTGGCTAGCAGCAGGTGTAAACACGGTGTCCCTCACACAAAGAGGGCGTTCACAAAGGCCTTCCACATAGGCAACAAAAAGTGGCATTTGACCACATGTTGATGCAATAGATTTTCCATTTATTTGTGGTATTTTGTCGTATCACTTATTGTACTCTTTGCCTCAAGGTTCCCAAGTCTGGTAGTTGTTTATAGAGACGGAACCTGCGATACTCTTGCTCTTGGGGATATAAAGGTATTGTGTTTACAACCAAGATCTTCTCTAGCGACCTTCTACCCTTCAATGCACTATGGACATGAACCACAATTCTGGTAACTTTATCCTTTCTATAACTATTTTAGTATTACTCGAGTGTTATCGGAAACTGACCAAGTATCTCTGATCAACAAAAATAGTTCTTGTAAAAGCACTTCGTCACTCTTGTGTCCCAATTTCTGCTTCTTACATCAAAAAGTACATAAGACAAGTAAACAATAATGGGGTAGTTACCGCGTACCCCCTCTTCAGGAACTCCTACCTTGTGGCACGCAATTCTTGCACCTCCTGGAGACAGAATGAGGGAGAAAGGAACGGACGGAGGGAGGGAGGAACGTACGGACGGAGGGGCCCGTCCCTCCCTCCCTCCCTCCCTGTACGTCGACCACTGTATGACGTGATAGTTTAGCCTGGTACTCAGCGTCTCAGTGGCGATAGAAAAAATATAAATGTTTACGTCATTAATAAATATCAGCAAATCATCTTGCCTCAATGTGTCTGAGTCACCTGGTGTTAAAGCGCTATAGGTCAATTCACTTTTTTTTTCTGACTTACGTACACACAAAATACAGGGTGTTTCGGAAATAAGCCTCATTTTTTGGGGGGGTGTTCGAAACAGACATAAGGATAAATGATCCCATAACCATAGTGTCATTACCCCATAGTTTTTGGGTAGGGGGAAGACTGCAACAAGTCTATGGACATAAAACATAAAATATCAAGGCCTGTTTATAGTAAGTGGTACCATTCAGGAAGAAGACCGGAACTTTGAGCATTTACTGTAAAATCCATATCAGATTCCATATAATTGTCAATAAATTGTACTAACAACACTGAATATTTCATTTATACTCTGTAGATTTTATCTCATCCTAACTCCAACTGTCATGTGGTTTAACTCTGAAACTATGGGGTATTGCCACTATGGTCAGGAGGTCATTTATCCTTAGGTATGTCTCACGAATACATCCCCAGAATTATTAAATATGAAACGTATTTCCGAAACACTCAGATGTGCAGCAATTTAGACTGATGATGAGGTGAAGACTTACGTATAATAAGTTTAATTATACCAAAACTTTCTGAGCGTCAGTTTTATTTTGTTAGACACAGTTATAAATTCTAGTTTCAATTTATTTATTTAATATCACATAGGGCGCCTCAATAGTCTTCACCTAGTTTCCGAATGTAGAAAACTGCGCGTACATATAAAAGCTTCTGATTGGCCCAGAGCACATGACCCAGCAACATGTGGGCGTGTCTTGCCTATCCACGAGTGAGGGCACGTCAGGACCGAGAAGATTCACGCGCAGGTGTTGTGGTGGATGGCGGCGGAAACAGAAACACCTCTAACCTGCCGCTATCCCTTTCCTCTATGTCACTCACCATGATGGACTCGAGAGTGGTGTTGGCGGCCTTCACCTCCACTCTCCTCCTATACGGTACTGTTGATTTCATCTTAACTTGTCATCAACCTCAGGTATTTCTGCTATCATTTGTGTTAAGTGAGTTAAGAGAGTCTCTATGACATTTGTTGAGCATTAGAACAGATTGTAGTTCCATATATGCTTTATCGTAACACTGTACCGTATTTCGTCTTCATAAATCGGCAATTTGAATAACAACTCAATTTGGAAGTCTTCATGAACCTTCAATAATTACGTGCCACTTTGGGTAATAATCTTGGAACAGCGCTGAAGGAATTCCTACCTTGTTAGTTGTGACCAATCTTCACCCAAACAAGAAGCATCCTCAGAGAACCAGTCCAGTATTTTATATTATATTTTAACCAAGATCACTGAAAAGAATTAACTATAGTGAAGCGGTGTAATGATGCTTGGTACAAATTTCTTCATGATATAGGGGGTAAAAAGTTACGCCTCCAAAGAGTTACAGATTTTTTTGGGCGGGGCCTCGACGATTTATTAAAGTGATCGGAAACAACAATAAATACGTTCTCCTTCCGTCCGCGTTTACTGTTGTGATAAATGAGTTGTGCTGTGGTGTCCCTCCTCTAAAATAAGACTAAGATATATATTTAGTTTATCTCCATCTCCTCATCAACCATCATTCGCATCACTAATAACCACTTAACGTTGTGTTCTCTAGTTATTCTCGTACACTATTACTTTCTGGACGTCTATTCCCTTTGCTTCTCGTCTGTTCTTTATTCCATCCATCCATCGCCTTCTATCCTTCCTACTTTTCATGTTATTCTTGCCATTTTACTTCCTATGCTTTCGATAAGTCCTAGCTAAACCCTGACCACCTCTGTCCAACACTTTATTAACTGCCATGTTTCCTGTTTATTAGTATCTCGATTGTTCCCGTTTGTGGGGAGGGAGGGAGGGAAGAAGAGAGAAGTGGAAAGTGAAAAAAAGAGGGGGGGGGGAAGGGACGGTGAGAAGGAGAGAGGGAGTGAGGGTGAAAATGAGAGAGGGAGGTAGGGCGAGGAGGAGAGACGGAGGGGGTTTGAAAATAAGAGGGAGAGAGGGTGAACTGAAGAGCAGTACCAGTCGTTCCGTCAAACTTGTATACCTTTGAAATCGGGCTGAAACTAATAAGATATAGAGACGCATATAAAGATGCTTACGCTTAGTTGGACCTGCCTATGCAGTAACGCTCCTTATATAACTTCCAAGAATCCATTTAAATATATTTCCCTATTTTTTTTTTGGCAACAGTCAATTTTAATGCTTAACCAACCAATAATTTGCGACGATTCGTTGTAATGCCAGGACAAGTAGGTGCTGTAGTCGAGCTGTTGTAGGTAACACCCACTTTGTGAGGGCCGTATTACTCAGGTGATTTTTTTTTCTTCAGATTTGCCCCCTAGGGGGCTAGTTTATTGGGCACCCCCTTACATCCTGTGCAAGGTGAAGCGCAGAAGCGTTTACAGCGCCCAACAGGGAAGTATGAAAAGTTCATACTTGCCTTTATGACTCGTACATTAAGGGCGTAAAAGCCTGAAGGGTCATAGGTTTTGTCAAGTTACATAAAGTGAGAGAATGATGAGTGTGTGGGGGGAAAGTTCCCGGTACATTTTATCTGTTTATGACAAAGAGGTTACTCAGGTGATCTGCCTCGGGATAGCGACAAACTATAGTACGTGCCGTGACACATTTGGCTGCACTGGAAACCATCAGGCTGACGGAGAACTTGCAACAGTGTTAACCAACTTAGCGTTACCTCCTCCCACTGGATTCTTTCTTCCGTACTGCTGACGAGTCCTCTTGCCCTTGAGGAGCATTTTCTTTACGATGGATTTATCTCCTGTTGTAGAATCGAAAGATAACTTAGTATTGTGACCAGCGGAAGCTACAGGAACAGCCACGGTCGTGTGACTTTAACATGCCAGGGAGGTACTACACTGTACAGATACCGGGTCAATAGACAGCCTTTTTTTTCGATTACAATCTCACTTTGTGGAAGTTGAAAGAGCCAGACCCTTTCAAGAGAGAGCGGGGAAATGTGCGCCCTGATTAATTTACATTTATAGGCTTAGGCAGTTAACACCTGGACCTCACCGACATACACGAGGCATCACATCACTTGGGATTCGCCGACAAAAAGGTCTTACGATGCTTACTAATATACGAAATATACGACAGAAGTATAATAACAGAAAAAAGGGGGTAATATCGCTAAAATAGCGGGTGGGTGAATGAATCTACGGTTTACCTTAAGTTTTCCTGCCTCCGACAGGTTTAAAGACATCTGAAGAAGCCGCTATGAAACCTCCAGTGTCATCTACTCCACAAGGACACCCAAAACATCATCAACAGTGTTGAGTTATGCCTCCAGATATGAAAGCAAAAAGGTTTTATTCGTAAAATTTATAAGCAAATTGAATTTCATAATGTTGAAAACATCAAACATGAAATTGAAGGCGAAAACAAATGATTGAAAATTAACGAAGTTACCAAGATAAAATAAAAACTACACTCACGTCATCTAACTACGCCTTTTAAGGGGATGTCTTTGACAGAGTAAGCACTGGAAAATACTACCATGCAGCTCAATAGTTAAACCAAGATGTATAACCTTGGCCCTAACTGCTTCCGTTCTGGAGCTATGGCTGGACCAGACAGACAAGTTCTTTTAATACTATTTATTAGATTTAGATATACTTCCGTGTTTCAATATTTAAGGCTTTTAAACATGAAACACAAGTCATTTCTTTAGAAAACAACTTAAATAAATATTAACGAAGAATAATTTAATAATCCTGTTATATTAGAATTAGACTGTATAAGTGAACTGCCCTTTCACATAGCAACGTTTACTTCCATATTAGTTACAAAAATAGTCGAAGAACTACTAAAATATTTTTGTTAATTTATATCTATGCATTTTTTTTAATTTATATTGTTTAAAATTGATGATTATGGCAGATATTAAGTTTCTGAAGGAATTTCACTGAATTCAAGAAAGAAATAGAGGGTTAATGTTACCATGTGGTCAGGGAGAATATGGCGCAGTCGCATAGTAAAGTCACCCCTGAATTTCACCATGTTTAATCAAAGAAAACGAGTATCAATATACGCTTCAGTACTCCATAATTTACACCACACTCCCTCCCCTCCCGGGAGGTTCACGGCCTCCCCTCACACCGCTGATATGCTGTAGACGCCAGTTTCCCTTGTTCTGTAAGAGGGTTACGCCTCCCAACCACCGCTGACTTCCTAGGAGTGGCAAGCAGTCCTCGGCCCTCTGACGTAGGCGTATAGGTCGAGTCCTGTAACTCCACCATGTCTGCGTGGACTGGAGACCCAACTACTCGTTCTAGCTCTCCTGATGCACTGAGTGAGCCAGGTGACTATGGTGTTGACCTTGACACCAACGGAGAGGATGGCTTTCAACTAGTTCAGTCCAGGAACACGCGGAAGCCCGAAAAGGCAGAAAAACTTAAAGAGACCATCAACTACAACGTCAACCCCCCATGAGAGTAAGATTAAACTTCCCTGTAGGTACACCACCTGAAGTCAAATATCGATGGCTGAACGATGCGGAAGATAAACACCCAGACGCTGAGTTTCAGTTCAGAGTCTGATTAGAAGCGACCCAGCAGTCATACAGGATCTCCTCACCAATTGCATAGAGGGAATAACCATGGAACAATCATCCCAACCATCGAGCAAGAAAACCATCTTAATCATAGGGCTCGACCAGTACCAGACCCCTACACTACTAGAAGCTCATCCCGCCATCAGAAGGACGAAGCGACTCGGGTGCAAGAACGCAGTCACTGCAGACTGGGTTGGCTCACAGGACCCATCCAAGTCCATTCGAGTCCGTGGTGCTTATCGGACACCGGTGTTACAATTGTCAACACTGGGGCCATGTGGCCCGATTATGCCCCTCTACTAAGCCGTGGTGTGGTCTCTGCTCATGACAACATGCAACACAGGTTTGCAGAGATACAGTTGCTCAAGGGGGTGTCATTCAACAGAGGTGTATTAACTGCAAAACATTTGGAGTTCCTGTATGGCACCCTGGCTGTCCCAGAGCTCCTACACCCCCTCAGCGCCCAGACCCGCCACACAGGCAGGTCTCAGGAAACACTACTGCTGCTAGGGTACTCCCTGCGGCCAACCCCTGGCCCACCCTCCCCACCAAAGCTCCAGAATCATCACCAACAGTCAACGAAAGATCAGCATGGAACAACACAGACGGACTGACACAACAGGTAGCTGCCAACACACCCCGTGAACACGCACAAAGTGAAGAGATCAATTATTTGAAAAATGAAATTAAAGAGCTCAAAGCTCAATTTGCAGCTCAAACTGATATGTTAAACAGCCTCTGTGATGCACGACAGAAAAAGAACACCACCAACACAGAGCAGCAGCTATGGAAACATTACAATCAAACTGAAGACAATCAAATGTTAGTACCAGATGTGGAATCTCAAGACCCACCAGGAACTAGTGTCCACGCAGAGGAAAACAGTGATACTGGTAACAGTTCTACTGATGCCTCTGTGGACATGGTCAATGAAGATGAACAAACACAAACAGAAAATGGTGGTGATGTCGAGTGCAACCAAAGTGTGTTGTTGTCTGCCACTGAAATACAACAATTGTTGAGCAGTACATGCTCCAGAAATGTTTCAAAAAGATTAAAAGGCCTACTGGCTGCAGAAGGGACAGGAAGCGTGGAAAACAACCCAGTATCATACAGTGCTTTTAGCTTCTTTCCAAATATAGTTCATAATGGCTAGTGTTAATACCAGACAAAGATACAGAACGGTGAAGGTGATGAGTTGGAACATCTCTTTTCTCAGAAAACGATACCCTGACCTACACCACAAAGTTGTGACTGAGGACATCGATATTGTGTGTCTGCAGGAGTGTCTCACACCTAATGGTAAGCCCCCACCCAGTCTGCCCAATTATGTGTATTATGATCCTAGTTCTACTCACACACGTTTGATGTATGTTAAGAAGTCACACCCGCATGTACCTCTTGTATCCAAAAAGACTACCAACCTTCAGTACCATGGGATCACTATCCACCTGGGCAACTCCACACTCAACGTGCTAAACGCCTATGCTCCCTCAGATCAGCTTCAGTACACAGATCTCCCAGACTTTTTACACACTGAGCCCACTGTCCTGATGGGTGACCTGAATACTAAACACAAGAAATTAGGTGACTCCACCACTAACACCAATGGTAGGAGACTTATCTCACTTCTCAGCGCATATGAAGATGGTCAAATTATAGGTAATAATGAACCAACACACATCTATGGCGGGCCTCTAGACAAGTGTATTGGGTTTAATCTATCATACACAACTCATAGCTCTGATGTTGTCACTGATCTTATGTCTGACCACAGCCCAATCCAAGCTAGTATACATGTAGCCAATGACACCCCCACTGGCGGTAAACTCAACAGACGTAGACTCAGTCAAGCAAGAACATGAAAGACAGTTCATAGACTTCATCCATGACTGGTACAAGGACACAAGCCTGACAACTACCAAAGTTTCCATGATGATCTGATAGATAGGACATATATATATATATATATATATATATATATATATATATATATATATATATATATATATATATATATGAAAGAGCAAATTTTGCCTTATGTGATTTAATATATATTACGCTGTAGCCAGAAAATCAAAGGCTATCCCAATTGAAAAGAAAAGAGATTAGTTACTTTTTTAAAGCTTAATCGCCACATAGGAATAGCATTGTTTTTACTGCTATAACCCAATGGAAATTAATTCATATACAGTATAAATGTGATAAATAATTATCTACTTGACCGTCTATGGTCAGTCTGAAGCTTCGCTATTATGTGCGTGTTAACTTTTCGTATTATCCTGTGTAGTGATAACCCATATGATGCATATTGAACGAATATCTTGAAAAATATGTGTATACAATGGTGTATACTGTATACGAATGTTTATGGAGACTTTTTTGTTTGGCAACAAAGAAGTTGAAAGAATGTATTGCTTTGTCAGTGAGATATGTAGGTCCTTTATGTGATGTCGAATGGTCACAACACAAAGAACAAAACGCAATAAATAAATCCACATTTTTTAGAACTGTTCATATATCGCAGGAAACATGACGGTCTACCCAAGCCAGCGGTGCCGTCACTCACTAGCTTATTATTACATACAGTATATAGATACACACATGGTGACTGTATTAAGGTCAAAATTGATTGGCCAGAATAGTGGAACAAAGCAGTGGACGTCTGTGTTAAGTAAGCCGAGACTTAAGTGTTCTGTATATAAGCAGTTCGGTAATGATTCACGAGTGTACTGTACAATGACAGAAGCAAGAGGACTCAGGCAGAGGAGCTAGAAGTAGAAACGAGAGAGAAAAGAGAAAGAGGTGATAACGTTAAAGATAATGAACGAAGAATTAAGCTGAGGTTAAAGAACTTAAAAAAGCTGCTTTGAGATAGTTTGAGCTTACTGTGGAGATAAGAGAATGGAACACGTGAGACAAAGAGGAAGGTTGAGAGAGGAAGAGAGAATGAGTGAAGAATATTTTCGTCACTAGAAAGGATTACATATACTATACACGGGAATTAATTCACTTAAGGAAACCTCCATCGTACGCCTCGGTGGATGAACGGACGAGGGACAAAGTGACCACCAGGACCCAGCTAAATGATCCTTCAAATATTTCTATCCAAAATAAACATTTCAGATATAATAACGCAAAACAGATTACAGCGTTAAATGACAATTAGAAAAATAAAACGATGAAAATATTTTTAGTACAGCGACCTCTTACGAAATAACCAATATAATCACTAGATCAGTGTGTTTACTTGTTTTTGCCAAGAAACAAATCAGTCACACAAACACATGCGACAGAGCTACATAGCCGGCAGTTCTTTAAGCTAGTGATAAAAAGATTTTATCATTGATTATCCAACATAGATTCTGGTTGCTGGATCATAATAAGCGACCAAAAAAGAAAAAAAAAGTTCAGGGCTGCTCTCAAAATCCGGCAGCAAGTTGAAGTATGTATACAGAGCTGCCTGGCCATTCACCAGCCATGATAACAAACCCGCGGCACTGACATATAAAATATTCATTCATACACACACCTCAGCCAAGCTGCCAATCCTTCTCCACGGAGATAATTGACCTATCGCCCTTCTAACTAATGGACCAGTGAAGTCTATTGTGCGCGGGACTCTGTTTACCTGGGAGTCTGACCCCGACAATCCAATCTCTGCTGACACATCTTTACACTATGCGTCATCTCGTATACTAATATGAAGAGTAGGTTTATTACTAGAAATGTGAATAAACTTTTAAATACATTGAAAAAATATCTTAATTAAGGTGTTGTAACATAAGACATCTGGAATTAATTTTAAAACATTTTTCTTTCATTACCTATTTTTAAACTTAACGAATAATGCCACCATCACGCACCCTCAATCAGCCTACGGAACTTTTGCATAACAAAACCTCGGACTAGCACACTGTAGATCTCCACCCTACAACACCAATCAGCTCACAATGTCCTGCTTCAATTATCTTCCCTCGCGGTCAAGGAGACGCCCAGGTGAGCAGATGCGATAACCACCCTATGTGATGTCTCCCCAGCAAATAAAAATAAAAATAAACTAAAAATGGCCAGAGCATTTTGTCTCTATTCTGTACAAATTTCAGCTCCCTACCTCAAAAAAGTGCCTAAGATATCGCCCGGACACCTAACCAAGACCAGTGGCACCCAACCAAGATCCGTGACAAACAAACAACTGAATGTCCCTCTTCAGCGCCTTCTACAGGGAAAGTCACACCAACTTGGTTCGAACGGTAGGGCGCCTGATAACAATACTCTAGGAAAGTGTAGAAAATTAAGTTTATTAATACATGACGTCATCTGGCTGCGAGGCGATAAATTAACAGTAGGAGAGCGTGAGTGAACAGCAGGATGGTCTACATCATGGTTTACAAAAATGGCGGCGTCTATAATCTACAGTTGGCGTAACTCTCCTTATAGAAGGCGTAACTCTCCTAATAGAAGGCGTAACTCTCCTTATAGAAGGCGTAACTCTCCTTATAGAAGGCGTTGTCCTCCTTGAGTTTCGCGCGGCTCCTGGGGACGGAATAGGGGACTGGGCCGTATACTATAAGCGTGTTTACCCAAGGTGTTCTATCAGGTACAGGTGATCGACAAGTTTTATATCTTACAGATTTATATTCGTGTTCGACATGAGGTCAGTAATCCACGTAATAAAAAAAAAGTGTGATTCATGTTTAATAGCGTTGCTGTTGTGTAGCCAGACTTTATGGTGCAGAAAAGCGTCGAGAGAACATTGAGTATCATTGTATATATACCCGCCATATACCGATTTCTCTGGGTAGTAATCCTGTCAGAATCCACGAACTTCGAATATGTCAACAAATATTCCGTGTACTCCCTCAGTGGCGCGGGTCTTTGTTATCAGGGAATAAAGGTCTGGAGAAACTGAATGCAAGTTTTCAAGGTTTATATTTACCCACAGACATCATACTTCCTCTCTATTATCCCGGAACACCTAAGTGTGTCACTTATGTATACTGTTATACCTGCACAGAGAGAGGGGGAGGGGGAGGGAGGGTGTTAGTCACTGGTCGAATGTTTCCCGGTATCATCGTTGTTAATTGGTGATAATTCTCTTTGTTTGTTGCACAATGGACCTTCACTTGAGAGGGTTAACAGGACGCTACAGGGACGAGGGAAACTTGTACGCAATTTGTTTCTGAATATTAAGGGTGAAACACTGAAAGTCTCACTGAAGTTAGCTTGTGCAAATCTCCGATCAATTATATTAGATATAAAATTTGATTTGTTTCAAAGGTCCGCATCATGCGAATATGACCTTGTGTTCATAAAGTTTCGTCCATTATGATAAACAAGATGACTCACATATTGAACTCACACTAACTGGGGACAGTATTTAGTGTAGATCTCAGTGTCTTTTGCAACAAGTCGAGACGAAAAACAGTCAGCTGCCATTGCTGCTGTTAATCCAGTTACTCTCAAGTAATAACATGTTTATGACAACATTAACTACTTGCTGATACTAAAGCATTTTACTGATGTGGTGTGTCAGCGTGTGTGGGGGGCGTGACGGTGCTGAGGTTCCAGGAGGACGGGGTCGCCACTAACGACTCCATAGCAGTGTACAAGGGCGACCTCAGCAGGACCCGCCACCTCTACTCCTTCACCTTCTGCATGAGGTTTAAGGTTTTCTTTCTGCATCAGCGTGGCACAATCTTCTTCCTCTACGACAGCGTGCAAGGACGATACTGGATGCTGAGAGGAGGTGAGTAATATTTTGGCTGTCTCGTATTGTTCTCTGTTGCTGCCGAAGGTTATTAGTTAACGAGGATCTGTGTCGAACAAAACCTCACCCCCCAGGTTTGTTGTCATCTCCGGGCGTCTCCATGCAAGATCGATAGAAATTTGATCTTAAATAACATCCCGTCAGCTGACGTTAATTCATGTACTATATTGCTGCTCTTAATGTGTCTCGCCTTAATGGTTTTAGCTACCCTCGATACTACTACAGCTGCTACAACAACAGTGACAACAACAGTAATAATAATAATAATAATAATAATAATAATAATAACAATAATAACTATAATCATAATAATAATAATAATAATAATAATAATAATAATAACAATAATAACTATAATAATAATAATAATAACTATAATCATAATAATAATAATAATAATAATAATAATAATAATAATAATAATAATAATAATAATAATAACAATAATAACTATAATCAATAATAATATTAATAATAATAACAATAATAACTATAATAATAATAATAATAATAATAATAATAATAATTAATAATAATAACAATAATAACTATAATCATAATAATAATAATAATAATAACATAATAATAATAATAATAATAATAATAATAATAATAATAATAATAACTACAATTATAATAATAATAATAATAATAATAATAATAGTAATAATATTAATAATAATAACAATAATAACTATAATAATAATAATAATAATAATAATAATAATAATAATAATAATAATAATAATAATAACTACAATCATAATAATAATAATAATAATAATAATAATATTAATAATAATAATAACAATAATAACTATAATCATAATAATAATAATAATAATAATAATAATAATATTAATAATAATAATAACTACAATCATAATAATAATAATAATAATAAATAATAATAATAATAATAATAATAATAATAATAATAATAATAATAATAACAATAATAATAATAATAATAATAATAATAATAATAATAATAATAATAATAATAATAATAATAATAATAATAATAATAAAGTAAAAGTAAAAATCGAAAAATATTAATTTCCAACAAAAGTTCTAGAGTAAAGTATTCTCAATGTTTTGCTCTATCTCCCTATACACAAATCAATATAGAATTCTGTGGTTGACCTTTTCCGAATATTTACCTGTGATATATAGTAAACAGTATATAAATCATTTGTATGAACTAAAGAATAATCGAGGTTTTGTATCAGTTCATTACGTGTGTCAAAATAAACAAGGTCAAGTTTTTCACAACATAGAAACTATTATTTAAGACCATTAAGCAACAGCTATATCGCTTTACATCATAGAGTGCACATTTGATGATAATAATAATGCCAACTTATTTTACCCATTTAACCTCACTGTTTGGCACAACTGAGCGATGTGGTTTGCTGATTCTATTGATTTTTTGATTACTTATTAATCCCTTCAGTACAATGTTTTCTCGTATTTTATTCTGGCTGCCGCTAGACGATTTTATTCAGCTGAGGAAGTTCCATGTCGTTGTCGAGGAGTAAAACAAAATTTCGCTGCTTTTACAAGATATAGATTCAAACCTATAATTCATTTGCTCATAAATGCCCCCTTTTGCAAAGGAACACCTGACTTAGAGAATGAATTCATCTTCCTTTCATCCTATTGTAAATTTAGTATTTTCATCTGGCGAGCGCTAAACGACTACACTCAGCAAAGGAAACCCCGTCGGTATTGTCAAAGCGTTATTCTGCATTGTAATTTCTCCCAACTGATATACACTTTCCCTCCTCACTCTGGGTACCCCCCTCCCCCCCTAAAAAAAAAGACAACCCGGCACACCCCTCCCTCTCCCTCCCGCTCACTAGTGAATGTTTAGAATTCACACTTCAGAGTTCGGGGTTCACACCTCAGGGAGAGAGAGTGGACTGGCACCGCAAAGTGGTAAGCGCAGGAGTGAAATCAACTGTACAGCCGAGGTCCAAAGTTCGCTCCCACCCAAAATAAATCAGCATCGACCCCAAATGAAATGAAACAGTCAGCGCAAACTATTTTGCCAAATTTTTGGGAAAGTTACTCAAATTATAGAACCTGTTGGGTGACTGATGTACGAAAGAGTGTAATCACGCAGCATTCCCCCCCCCCCCCTTAACATTGTCACTAGGAATCAAATTTATTGTTTGTTTTACTTCACTAATCACCAGTGATCAAATGTCCATAGAATAACTATAAACATGTAAACTAATTTCAAGTTCAAGAAAACTTCATTAACATATTCTGTATTTTGACTGGAACTGTGACTGGCGGCGGCAGAGGTGTGGGTGGACAAGGTGAGGGTAGCCATCTCGCACACCTGGCACTTCATGCCCCTCGACCAGCAGCTATGGGCCTTCAGGTGAGTTAGTCACTCTTCTTAACCCTAGTAGGTAAGGTAACAAGACCCCCCACCAATTACCAACGAGGGAGAAAATTTGGGGTAAAATACTAAAAATAACACCAAACAAACCTTTGAAAACCTGAACTAACGTTTCCTAACCTTTAAAAATCCTCAAATTATACAAAGTTTACCTTATTCATAATTTCGGTGCTTAGTAGGTGTTGTTGTTTTCGGTGTTCAGATGAGGAGGGATTCATAAATTCATATGTGACTCTTAAAATTTTTACAAGTTAAGAAACGTTAGGTCAGGTTTTCAATTGTTTTTTGGTGATTTTTTAGTAATTTACCCCACATTTCCCCTCGACTTCAAAGCCCTGTCCACTTTAAACAAGTAATATTTTTGGTAATTTTTTTTCTATTAAAATACTCGAAAAATATTCAGTAAATTTCCGACGGAAATGCCAAAGAAGAAAATTGTCTTAGAATAGTCTGAACCAAGAAGTAAAACGTAATTTTTATGGAAAATCGAATCCTTGCTACAATCATAAATTGACCAAGTATTATTATTTTCTGCTCTCCTTCCCCTTTGTTATCGCTATCAGCTATCTCTCATGAGGCAACAAACGCTTTTTCGTCCAAAATGATCAACAAAATATTATGTTTCCTTAACAAAATTCTCAAGGAAAATATATTTCAAGATAACCTAGAGTCTTCGTTGCTTTCGGGTGATATACATGTAGTGTATAAATTAACGTTACCTGGTCACTTTGGGCTTCAGCATCTGGAAACAGCGGAGGTGCATTTTACAAACTCATCTTCACAAATCCAAGATTCAAGTGGTGTTTAACAGAGATTTTGCTGTGGGTGTGCTCAAACGAAACACCTATGATCTCCAAGTCTGTTTCCATCCACTATCATTATTTCACACTGGTGGGAAGCACTTCGCCTCTCTTACACTACTTGTCAGGTCCTATTTAAGTACATTGGCAAATCGACTCGCACAGATAGGCTTCTGACTAAATAATCCACTTGTGTCGCGTCGACTGTAACCGTTCATCGGGAAGGACCCTCCATTCTCTCACAGTGAATACAAGGTACAGTAGGTACTGACTACTGACTTGAGTGACTTCCTCAACCGGCTAAACGTTGCCACCTCTGGAGTCTGGATCACTGTTTACCAAAGAACAAACGGTCTTTACACGCCATCCTAAAGACTATAAACGAAAGTTAGAAAAGCTCGAGCTTTTGGGTGTGCGTGTAGTAAGGGCCTCTGAGGAAGATGGCGTTGGTATCGGTTGAGAACTTCGTTTGATTGTTTACCGAATACGTCAACTTCAGTGGCACCAAGTTTGAAAACAGAGACCATGCCTCACCCGTGTTTCATGTGCGGAAAATCCAAAGAAATTCATCCTACTTTTATCTTTCATCGATTCCCTCGACAACAGGAACAATTGAGTGAATATATAATGCATAATTAACACAATATATGATTGTTGGAGTGTGTGCTGGTTTGGTAACACTGTATCGGTCCCAACGAATGCGGAGCTCAGGTCCGGCTCACACAGACGTCTCGCTGTGAGGACATGTCTGCCTCCCCCCCTCGTTATCTTCGCCAATAAATGGACTATGGACGCGGCCTTTACCTATCCCCTGGGTTGTCACCCTAACATGGTACAGTGAGTAGGATATGAATAATAACACAAAAAGCAGAGGTGGAATTTGAGATTGACCCCTCCCACTCCCTCCCCCTCTTTCAGGGCTAGATTTTATTTGAGGGCCTTGCCGATAGATGGCGCTGATTCCGGCTTTGCGGCGCACAGTTAATTCAACAGCTTTCGTAGGAGCTTTCCAATCTTTCGTATATAATCTTTACACCATCCCGTCTTCGGGTGTTAAGACAAATATACAACAGTTTCTATGGTATCTGGAACGTCTGGTGAATTACAATTACTTTTATAATTTTTGTCCATATATTTTATTCAGCTACTAACACAGCCTCATTTCAACTTAATTGACTTTTTTATATAATAGCTATTCTCCATATTCGTTTTTTTTCTTTCTATTAGATTTTTAACGTCCCTTTGTTTCTATGGCAAAGTTATAATTACGTAAGTCCTTCAGATTTATCGGGAATCTCCCGTATCATGCATCAATTTCCGGAGTTATTTTACTGGTGGCTGCCTGCAATAATACACAGGAGTAAACATTAACAAATTGTATGTTACAGGTGGTATCACCTCTGCTTCACCCACAACCACGAAACTTACTTGATCCAGACCTTCCTGGATGGGGTGATGGTGAGGAACAGTTCCTACAACGTCAACCGACCAGCATTTGGCGACTATGCTGCAGTGGGTAATGGCCAAGCCACCGAGGAGAGCTACAGTGGAGACATTACCCAGGTGCTGTTAGTCTGATCTGATCAACACACTTAAGCTGATTTATTTTCGCTTTTCTCTTGTCCATAAGCATATAAATCCCATGACTGTTACTCAGGCAGTCATAATTGGGCAACTGTAATCACTTTGCGTAATGATTATCATGTGCGGTGAAAATGGTTTTATCTACAATGGAGAAGGGGGAGTGTATTAGACTACGAGGATGAGTGAATGAATGGGGAAATATATGTATGAGAGAATCACATGAGTGTAAGGAGTTTTTTAATTGTTTAAATTTGTCATTTATAATCAGAATACGGGAAACCGTTTATGTTGAGTCTGTCAGTGTTTTTGCTTCATCCAGAATACAATAATTTTCTAAACTTAATAGTGCAATCAATAATAATCGTTCTACTTATAGGTCAATGTGTGGGACAGGATAATGAGCGATGAAGAGATCCGGAAAATGGCTCACTGTCAAATTGACCCCAAAGGAAACTTCATCTCGTGGGAGGGAGGATGGACTCTAAACAATGTATCTTCGTATGAAATGTCTCTTTCTGAAATCTGCGAGCAGGAGGTAGGTAATATTTACTTCTGGTTTCCAGAAGTCACGGACGACACGGCCCAATACATTTGTGAGGCGCTGGGCACTCATCTGCCACACATCACCAGCCTCCAAGATGCCGAGTATCTGTACCAACTGTCGGAGACAATGTGGCCTGAGACTGACCATTGTCCAGTATATATCTGGAGTCCACTAAATGACAAGAAGGAAGAAAATGTTTGGGTGGCTTCTTATGACAAGAATTATATCGATAATACAACTTACTGGTCACCAGATGAACCAAATGGTTACAGATATGAAAACTGCGCTGCGGTACGACGAGATGGGCTGATTGATGATGACTGCGCCTGGTACAGGTGCGCATTATGCACATTTACGCAGCCTCAGAGATTTTCCTTTCTCGGAACATGTGAACCAGAATTGCGTAACGTATACTTTGTTGCGTACCAGGAGGAATATGGTGGACTGATTTTCAGGAGTTATGGCTCATACCACATTAAGAAAGAGAATGGGACATGGATCTATGTGGACACCGTACAAGGCTACAATATCGCCAGGATGGAAGCCTTTGATCCCGAGTTTCCAATGGGACGTAGGTGGTGGCAGTTGGAGCGAGAGGTGTGCGGCCAAGTCAGTGGTGGTCGACGTCGTATGCTCCTCACACCTTGCCTATACCAGCATTATACATGTGATGACGGCACCTGCATCCCACACCACTACCGCTGTGACCTGAAATACGACTGTCGAGATCAAAGCGACGAATTGGATTGTGAACTTATCTTATTTCCTAAAGACTACCATCAACACCTGCCTCCGAGGGTGCCGGGAAAGGAGGACTCCAAGCTGCCGGTTGTGATAAAGGTTATCGTCAAGTCCATAGATGTTCAGACTGTGGAGATGGCCATGAAATTATCTTATGAAATAGAGATGAGTTGGTATGATAACAGACTTCAATATTATAATTTAAAGTCGAATGATAGTCTCAACAGCCCGCGTCTTGACACTATGATGAAGCTGTGGTCACCACTGGTGAAGCTCCTCAATACAGACACCATCGATCAGTCACTGTTGGCCTTTGACGCCACCACACTTGTCAAGAGGCTGACCAAACCCTTGTGGAGGGACGAAGGCGCTGCTGGCGAAGGTTAGAAACCATCCATTAGGCATCAGACCTTAAGAAGTTCTTTTTCTTTTAAGTAGATCACACTCAACGTGATGATTAGTTTGCAATGTTTTCTCTTACAAAACTATTTTCTAATATTCTTTTCAGTTGCAATGCAAACAGTACTTACTAAGTCCTTCCCATTGTTCCCACAGTGGACATATACTCGGGAGAGGAGAACCCCTTATCGGTGAGCAGGAAGTACAGTACAAAGTACGCCTGCCAGTTTGACCTCACACTCTACCCTTTTGACAGCCAGCATTGTGACATTCACCTCCAGATTGTGTCTGGCCAAGTGTCCTTCCTCGACGTCCACCCGGACTCTGTTGTTGTGTACTTGGGGAGTCAAGTGCTGAACGAATACAAGGTAAGTCCATGTGTGTGTCTGTGTGTGAGAATTTAGGGAGAACAAGAGATTATTTTAGTAACCAACTCGTGTTTGTCACAGATCGGGGATGTGAAAGTTCTGTTGGAGAAGGAATACATGCCAGGTGAGGCTCGGGTTCGTGTGCCAATGACGCGGCTGTACGGGAACTCCATCCTTACTATCTACATCCCGTCCCTCATCCTCATGATCATTAGTTACCTCACCCTCTTCTTCAGAACCTCCATCTTTGACGTGCGTGTGATGGTCGCCCTCACCGCTCTTCTTGTTCTAGCAACACTCTTCGCCCAGGTGACCCTATATATGTGACTAAGTGTTATCTGCATGATTAAAATTTATGTAAATTATTCTAAAATGTTATTGATTCATTAATATTAAGTATTAAGACGCTGCGTTTCTATTCCTTCAATATTCATAAATACTTATAATGACACAGAGAAGTATAATGCATCTTCACCTTCCAGGCATCTTCTTCACTCCCCAAGACGTCATACTTCAAGATGGTGGACATCTGGTTGTTATTCTGCGTGGGAATCACTTTCCTGGTCATCATATTTCATATACTGATCGACAATCGGCTCTTCAGCCAGGCCAAGAAGACCCAGGTGAAGCCTTTTGGAAAGTCGGATTCATTTGTCGATGACGAATCCGTGGGTCTGCGGGGACGCTTTCGCTGGTCACCCAATATATCGGTGGAACAAATGGTGTTACTGGCTAAGGCTTCTGTGTTCCTCCTCATCATTTGTTTCATCATTGGATATCTCGTGTACATAGTACGTTAAAGGTTCCTATTTAGGTTCATCCAGCTCATTATTGAAGAGGCTTTTATTTTCAGTAAACCAAGATTGGCGACTTTCAGGACGGAGGCTATTTTTAACACCTTTTATGAACATGTATATGGAAGAGTCACTCTTCTCCTCTAACTTTTTTCCATCCGTGACGTCACAGCTCACTTCCCTCCACGTAAATCGACAAATAGTATCAGTGACCCCTGTACTGTCAGAGTAAATAGTCTACTTTTGACACCACAATACTTGAAGAGTCATAAAGATTTGCCTACTAAGTTTCATTTATTTAACATCTAACTGGATCCTTTGATTTCCTATTTCTTAGTGTCCTTCCGCAAAATTTTCACCCGTTCCTCCAGACGCACGAGATTTAAAAGATACAAATTAAACAATAACAACAATATATATTCTGTGAAAAAGTATTTCTCCTTTCTCATGAAAACGACGGAATGGCGTCTCAAGTTATTGCTATACTCATAAAGGTGTGTACTCGTTATTGTTTTTATTTGTCTACGCTTTTGCCGGATATATATATTCGATGATAACAAATCTTGGCCAGCAATATCGGTTAATAAATTTTCGGTTAAATATTGGACGGATGCCAGTTTGTTTCCTCCAACACTAGGCCTTCAAGAGCTTCCTCTAAATTTCCTACAGAAATAAAATACCGTAGTTATGTGTCAGCTTAGCACTGGTATCAGGATGGTAACACTCATGTTATCATCACAAGAAACAACCCTAAGAGCCATGTTCAGGAGACAATTAATGAGTTCAGGGAAAAAAGTTTCTGCCTTTAACTGTGTGGGTGTGATGACCATTACTGCCCGCACCACAGTACTAGAGGCCATTACTCTCTAAATGATGTTTGATGTTGCCACCTTTGTACGTCCACAATAATCAACATAAAAACTTTGCAATATTTCTCACAAGTTTAATACAAATATTGCCTAGTTTCATTAACACCATTAACATTGCGTAGTGTATACAAATTTGTATATGTCACTATTTGCTACTTTTTAAAAAATTATATTATCTTATTTCAACTTTCCATCTGTTATAGATTATATCAACTTGTAACGTATACAAGATGGGTGTATGACGTCTCAGCTGCTCCCATAATAGTTACTTCCTGACGTCAACTCTGGCCTCACAGTACCGTACATGACCCTCACGACACTGGTAGTTACTTCCCTCAGTGATGTGTCGGATAATCTTTACTTCACTTAAATATGCTTTGTCCTATGTTACGTTCCAGTACGTACAATCTGCTACTTTCTCCAACTGCAAAATAAATTAATATTGTGTAATATTGTTTATGTAATTTACTTTGCGCAGTTGATGAAAATAAATTCACGTGAAGAATATTCTTGTTTTTCTTTCTTCCCTGTGACTTTGTGACCACGAGGAAATTACTTGTTTAACTGCTTCATCAAGAACACCTTCACCTAAATCAAATGTCCTATAGTCCCTCAAGACCACTAGTTACATCCTAAATGATCCTCCTAGCACAAACCTCTCACTAAAAAGACGCCTAACAACTGAGAAATACTGTACTTAGCTGACTGCTCTTAGTGTAACACACCATGGTACGCTGACCACAAAGATTTTAAGGGATATGGTGCATTAACAGACACCGAAGGACAACAAACAGCTTCTTCTAGTTCCTCAACACACAGATCTAGTGATGGGAATGGCAGATGTATCGTCAGGTCACACATTACCCACGAGAGGCTGAAGAAATTTCTCAAAGATTAGTTTTTTTATTGAAAGTCCTCCGTAAATTATATTGTCTATATATGAAATACGCACACACCCACACACACACGCACGGTGAAGTAAGGGTTGCTTCACATGGGCCAAAAGGTCGAGTTAAGTGTTCTGTATGTTATGTTAGCAGTCTTCTCTCGCCGTTTGACCTCACTCGTCCATGACCACACCACTGTTCCTGACATTATTTGTGACAGACGACCGAATTAAGGCAATTAAGGCACCTGACATTTGAGAAAAGACAAATATAAACAATATGTGACATCAAACGAGGTTATGAATTCATGTTTGTTTTTTCTTATTGATCTACATACATGATTCACAAGAAAGCAAACAACAAATGTCATTCTTCATCAAGTTTAACTAAAGTCTAGGATATCATTCTTTTGACCATATAACCCTGTAGTGATCCGAATTAGAGGGGCATTCTACTTATTATTAATTATTAGTGCCATGAACCTTAAGAATGAGCCGTCTAATGCCATGACAATTGAACTCCATTATCCTGTTTGTCCATCGAGTTCTTCGTCTCCTTTCTTTATTACAGATATGAGTTCCGATATGTATTTGGTAATGTGATTGGACTCTTGAACATACATACTGTAGTCGAGAAATATTCGTGAATTTAATCAGGGAAGAGGTGCAATGTTATTGGTTAAAGATGTGGTGTACGCTCAACTCCATTGCCCAGTGGCGGCTCGTGAAAAATAAAATGGAGGGACTGCAAGCCTCACACAACAGTAGGATACACAAATTTGACCTACCTCAGGTATGAGTTGTAGTTGATGTCCACGAATTCCCAGGGCATGGTAGTAGTGTTGGTGGTAGAAGGTGGTGATGGACCAGTATTAATTGAAAATAAAGTCGGCGTGTCTGCTCTTCGATGTAGCAAAATTGTTTATTACTATTTCATTAAAATCCTTTATTTCTGTTATCATTTTATTTTCAATGGATATCACTGCTAAAGCAGACAGTCTGTCATTCACCATGGTACTGCGCAAAAAAGTTTTAATTCTCTTCAAAGTTGAAAAGCACCTTTCTGCTTCTGCCGTTGTCATTGGAGTTGTTATTAAAATTTTCAGCAACTTGACAGTGTCTGAAAATGTTGACTGTAGATTATTGTCATTCATCATCTCCAACAAGTCTATGAGACTTTCTGATTTACACAAATCTTCTCTTGTGTACAGTACAGTAAGTTCAGTTCTCAATTTGTCTTTTACAAGCATGGGATATGCTGCAACTGCTTGTTCAAGTTCATTACTAGGGAAATTTTTGGTATACACTGGAAAATTATTCACTAAAAGTAATGGATAAAACTGGTGTAGGTCTTCCTCTTGCTTTGATTTCAGTCTTTTCATTTAATGTCAGCTGGGAAAAGTTGATGTTTTGCAAATACTTCACTAGATTTTCCATGGTCAAAGGGTAATTAAAGAAAGCACGATTTAACCACACCGTCCACACTCAATGTAAACACGTTGTACGAGACTGAGCTGCTTCAAGTGCAGCTCATTGTCTCCAGAAGTGGTGCGGCGGCGCCGCCAATTAATAACAGACATGAATCGTACAGCATTGACAGCAACTATGAAAGTAACTTAAATTTTGGTCTGATTTTAATGAAAATTCACTTAGCAACGTATTGAAAATAATTAAATAACATATAAAATGATATATTTGTTGGTAGTGTATTATTCAGCTGTCTCTCTAAAGGAATCATACGCCTGGCAGTGAGTGTCTGGGGGGACTGCAGCTCTGCAGCCCTATGCATGAGCCGCCACTGCCATTGCCCTATTTCGATAGTTGTAACCTGTATGTCATCAACATACATATAAAATATTTCAAGAATATATTATCAGAATCAGATATTAAAAGAATATGGGTACATATTTAGGTTTGTAGTACAGGTGCAGTAGTTTCCACACGGTAACAAAAGAGCCGAGTTGGCGCTTCATATATAAGGCATTATACAAAATCAAATATCGTCTTTCAAAGTAAATATTAGTTATGTAAAATAATTTATAGCTGAATGTAGAGAAACAGATCATATAATGTCTTATCCAGTGTCGGCTACATCATATGCCCTTTAGTGTTCATTAATAGGTATTGGATCAATGTAGAGAACCAAAACAGGTGGTACAGTCTGTCAGTGGGGCCTGTTGGCATCTGTAAGTGGCCGTGGGTAACAATGGGGTTCACTAGATATGTAAGGTTCAGTCCAATTAAAAAATAAAACTCATTTTCACATTTTTATGGAGTTTTACTTTCATTACTGAGTCCATCACCAAGCTGAACTGTTATATTAGTTCGCTTGGTATCACAACAAATTCCTTTCAATAACAAAAACCTGAAGTAGCGCAGTGTTAATTTTCACGACAAGAGGGTTGAGAAAAAATCTTTATTCACTCACTCTCGCTGTCAGGATATATCACACTATCAGTACCACTTTAAGCTGATGATATAGTAGACAGCAAAATACCTTTACCGTAGAAGAGGATCCATCATGATCATTCCATCTACACGTCTACAAGCTGCTTCCATAATGCATCTTCATTTCTCACCTGCCTCTAGACTTCACTGGAGGTCGGGGCTACACATTTTTTCAGCATTTCATTAGGAATTCGTACCTGAAAAACGTGAATTCTAAGCCTGTGTCAGATTTTAGAATATCATAAAGTTTAAAGGTTATATGAGCACCTGGAGTGAATGACTGAACTGAGAGATGTAATAAGTCACAGTTATTTGAGACTTAAATGTAAGAGTGGGTGCCAGGGAAGTCAATGGGATTTTAAGTAACTTTAAATGTGACTGGATTGATTCAGCATGAGGAAACAGAGGGTCTATATATTACGGTATAAAATCCGACTAGACTGAGGAAACGTTACAAGACTCAGTCCTCGGTCCGTTGCTCTTTATCATATACGAGTACATAATAACATAAGCAAGGTTAGGTTAGGCTAGGTTAGGTTAGGTTAGGTATGGGTGAAAAGAACCGAAGGATCGTTGGAAGTAGCGTTTAGTGTCCTACTAGAGGAGAAAGATCTACTCATTATTCACACACACACACACACACGCACACACACACACTAAATAGATAATCACCGATTAAACCTAAAAAAATCACTGTAGTTTTTGCCGAAGAGATAAAAAAATATTATTGCCATAACTTAATGGAAATGATTCTTGTACGGTAAAAAAATATATGTTTCACTTAAGTCGCCGTTAAGTATC